AGACCTCTTCAAAGCTCGTCCATGTGCTGATAAGTGCTGTTTGGACTGAGCAGATCGTGGTGTCTTCCTGTGGCAACACTGTGGCCAGCATCTGGGGACACGTCGTTCGGGCCTTTGAACGATGTTTCGAAGAATGCAAGACGAACAATGACTTGTTCCCGGTGCTCCTTTTTCTGACTGGTGACTTGGAATGGTACAACACGAGTCACAACTTGCCACGGTGGAATTCCAACTTCCCTTGCGGGCATTGCAACATCAGCAAAGACAATATGTTCGACTACAAAAACGTGGCGGAGGTTCCTGTGGATCCATGGCACTGCCCTCGCCGCAGCTGCTGCCCTCTCCTGCGACACCTTGTGAGCCCCAGTGGTGTGATTCCGGACTGGATGCACAGCAAGCACCTCGGCTTCGACCAGCGGCTGGCTGGCTCAACGTTGTGGGTTCTCTGCTGGAGGATCCTTCCTGGCGGAGTAGAGGAAAACCTGGACAATGTATTGCTGCAGATGAAGGCTGTGAACTTTCCTTTTTTTCAGATAGGCTAGCTTAAGCTCCTCCTGTTTTCAGATATGTATAGGCAGCTTAAGCTCCTGCTGTTTTCAGATATGGTATAGGCAGCTTAAGCTCCTGTTGTTGTGAGACATGGTATATAAAAGTTGTAGTGTGTAGGCAGCTTCAGCTCCCCTGCAGGACTACTGGCGGCAGCACAAGGGCAATGGCATCAACTACATCACTCAGACCATGGTCCTGGCTGACCCACAGGATATTCACTGCAGAAAGGGATACCCTCGCTTGAAGGCCAAGGCAGCAGAAACTAAGGGCGTTATTGCAGCTTTGGCGAGCATCTGCCAACAGCACCTGCAACAGGACAACGAGGAGCACCAACAGATTGCCCTGGCTTTGAGTTTCAGCCGCGATTTGGACCAAATGGCAGATGGCATCGAAGACTGGAAGCCCTCGAAAGAGGTGGCGGATCGGATGATGCTCACGGCCGTTTGTCTCTTCCAGTGCATGACGATTTTGAATAAGTCCTTTCTGGAGCAGGGCCATCTGGCCTTCCAGTTGACATTCAAGACACACTGGTTTCTGCATGGGCTGCAGCTGGCGAGGCATCTTTCCCCCAAGCTGACTTGGACATACTCCGGCGAGGATTATATGTCCAAATGCAAGGGTCTCCTCAAGATGTGTACCAAGAGCCGGACGATGCTGACTTCGTTGGATCGTTTCATGCGGCAGTACACAGATGCCATGTCAATCGAACTGGCAGAGATCCTTGCACAGCCTGGACCGCCGCTCTGAGGAGAAAAAATGGGACCGTTCCTTAATTGCTGAAGGAAGCCTCGGGCTCCTCGTTCCTTAATTGCTGAAGGAAGCCTCGGGCTCCTCAGAGATTTTGAGCGCCTGCAGTTCTGAAGCAATCTAAGCCTCGGCCTCCTTGTAGGATCTTCAGGGCATGTCGTATCTGCTGCAGCCGTTTTTCAGCTCAAGCTCGCCGCTCGCCTCCGTAGTACAGCCATGGCAGACGAGGCCGAGCAAGCCGTTGAGGTCAAGGACCTCGTGGAGGCAGCTCTGCAGAAAGACGAGGGCGACCAAGCCGTTGAGGGCAAGGACCTCGTGGAGGCAGCTCTGCAGAAAGCCCGAGAGGAGGAGCTCGACCCAGAGGCTCGCAAGTGCAAAAGGGAACGGTGGGTGGGCTACCAACACGTGAACTTCCCCTGGCTTTCTACCGCCTTCCTCAACGAGGTGTTGCCCAACAGCTGGTTCGTTTCCAAAAGAGCTTGGGAAAAAGAAGCCTGTGTTGCCCGTCGAACCCTGAGGCTGTTGACTTGCCTCCGCTTCGGCCTCAAGCTACAGCAGCTGGCTGCCGGCAAAAACGGCGGGGCATGAGTGCCATGTAGTGGCTCCATGCTATAATTTAATGCACGTGTCATGACACATGTGTATATATGCTAGGGATCGAAGTCGCTGCGAGGGAAAAAAGGAGTGCATGAATCTATAGGAGCTGTAGTCCAGGAAGCCAAAGGCTCCTGAGGGATATTAAGATAGGCCAAGGGCGAGGAAGCTGCCAACTCGATCGCTTTAGAAATGCAATAAGCAAGGAAAAGGCACAGAAGGCACAAATGCACCATATACTCAGAAAGGCTTCCATGAACCCCGCAAGCCAATGGGGTCCAGGAAGCCAGGCAACCAAGAAATCCAGGATGTGTCAGTCCTGGATCCGCACGGGACCGCCTCGTGAAGACGTGGCGGTCCCACCCATGTGCGAGGAAGCCGCCAGCTCCTAAAAAAAAAGGTAGCTTAGAAGCTCCTATAGGCATCCGGTGACACCATAGGATGTGCCCGCATGCATGGTTGTTGTATATATATTGTATGTTTTTCCCGTGCAGTTTTTTTAGTTTGCAGCTGTAGGACTCCTGCCATGGCACTGCCGACAGTTGGCGAGCGGCTGAAGGTGCTGCCGTCAGTGACTGCAGCTGCCCTTGAAAATGCCGTCGAAAAAGGGTTGCGGCAGATGGGCCACAACACACTCGGCATGCTGTGCAGAGGACTGGAGGAATGCTCATGGAAGACGGCCCTGGGCAAACACATCCAGGAGGTCGTGTTCCTCGCTCCGATCTTGAACCGTATCTTCGAGATCTGCACCAATGGCTTGATACCCCATGCCTTGCTCCAGACTGCTTTGCTCGGCCTGTTCAAGAGGGACATCCTGGTACTACAGGCTCCACAGCAGAAGTTGCCAGGCTGGGGGCGCTTATAATCTCATGATAGGTATAGCCTAAGGATCCTAAGACTCTAGTGCCTAACCCGGCCCCTAAACCCATAAATTCAAAGCCCTGCAGGCTGGGAAGACTCGTCGCTGCAGTACTTCAACCTGAGATTCAGAATGCTGGCCGGCAAGATTCGGGATGTTGCCACCGGCAAGGAAAAGATGCCCAAGAAACTCGACAAGCAGGCACTTCAACAGGTGCAGGCCCTCTGCTTGCAGATCAACCCGAAGTTCAAAATGGAGGACATGGTGCAGCCATCGGAGACAGTGCCGCTGAAAGGTGTACTTGCACTCCAGGACGGGCCAGCGAAGGATGCCGAGACGGAGCCTGCAGCAGCAGTCGTACCTGCACCTGTCACTCCTCCGGTGTCCCATACCCCCGCTTCTGGCAGCATGGGCTGCATGCCAAGGGCATCTGGAAGCATGGACTTCATGCAAAGGGCGACACAGCAAGCTTTGCAGAATGCCTGGGCAGCCTCTCCGGCCAAGCCCCTCACCAAGAAGCAGAAGGAGGCGGCTGTCCAGAAACGGCCTGCGAGCAAAGCTCCAGAAGCCTCGCCGAAGAAGCGGCCTGCTGCCAAAGATCCAGAAGCCGGCACAGCTGCCAAGAAGCAGAAGGAGTCTGTTAACCCTGCCCCTGTGCCCGGCCGCGAGGAGAAGGAGCTCTACCAGGAGGCGATCAGCACTATTATCTCTGACTCCGTGTTTAAAAGCACGGACAGTAGGAACCACTACACATCTCGATTTTACGCCAAGGCGAAGAGGCTTGCTCTTGGCCACGGCTTGGGCAAAGAGAAGGCCGTAGAGTGGGCTCGCAAAGCCCACTCGAAAGCCAGCCAGCTCTGGGATGAAAAGTTTCACTGAGAGTGAAGTCCACTCGAAAGGAAGCCATGGGATGAGACTGCGAGTAAAAGGAGTGCTGCATCTGGGGTTTTGGGCAAATTATAAGCCAGAAGCCGCCTTAGGAAGCAGAAGCTCCTGAAGCATCCAGTCCAAGATTTAAGTCAGGAAGCCTTAAGCTCCTGAAACATCCAGTCCAAGATTTAAGTCAGGAAGCATAAGCTCCTGAAAAGAATTCAAGGAAGCAAGAGCTCCTGGAGGAAAATCAAGGGCTAAAATAGCCTATGTAATAGTTTAAAATAGACTATTCAATAGTTTAAAATAGACTATAATAGTCTATTTAAAATAGACTATATCCTAGTCTATTTTTGACTATATATCTTATAACAGACTAATAGTCTATTTTAGGATATATAGTCTGTTAACAGCCTAAGAAGATTCTTTGGGTCAGTACATAGTTCCAGGGCAGCCCCCCAGATCGCTCGACACGGTGCCCGATGATGTCCGCATCAGCGGACCGGCTCACTATGTCATTCCGGGGCAGCCCCCGCGGCGGCTAGATCAGCTCCCGCCCGGTACGCAGCTCCCTCCCGGCACCGAGATCATGGTGTCTACGAGGAGCTCGAGTCCGCCGACCAAGGCGCCCCCGACTCCCGCCCAGATCGCGGCGTACCAGGCTTCTCGCGCTACTCCTGCTCGGACGAGAGCCAAAGCTGCTCCTGATGCAGCTTTTCGTGCCGCCGAGCGGCAGTTGATTGACTTGCTCGGCGCGGCCCCCCTCGACGATGATCCAATCGAGGAGCCGTCGCCGGAGCCCGATGATCCGATCGAAGACTTTTAATTTTGTTCGCGGGGAATATCGCTTGTCTGATGTGTCCGATCGGATGATGTTGCGGTCTGTGGCGAATGCCATGGCGCACCCCTCGGCGATCGGGGGTCCGATCGGACTTGTGAAGATCAAGTGAAATTTTGATGATCCGACTGTGGCCGACTCCCACATTGCGGTCGCATGAAAAAGGTGCGATCGCCGATAGTCTGTTCAGTGAGGGCACCGAACGTCTGCGATCGTAGTAACTGATGTATATATGTATATATGTATATATGTATATATGTATATATGTATATATGTATATATGTATATATGTATATGTATATGTATACCCTACGTGTCCAAAGCATCGGTTTAACGGATGCGTTCAAGTAAAGCCTCCTAAAAGCTGAACCCACGCATTTAACTGATATATGGTTCACTTAGGCTTTACACCTTCCGGGCATTTCGATTGTGGGTTTCAGATCATTTGTGGCCTTGGTTTTCGGGGCGGATGTTTCAAGAGCTAAGGGATTCAGTAAGCCATTCCTCAGCACAGCACACCGGCAGCTGCGGCCACCGACAAGATCACGAATCGGTGCCCTTTTTCACCTTCTGCGCTTCGCACACTGGTTCAGGGATGCAATTCTGCATGGTCTTCTCAACGAAGCTAGGCGGTATCTTGCCGTTTTGATCACGGCTTTTTCCAGGCATCGTTTGTCCGCCGCTTGAGCCACTCCTTGGATAAGTTTCGGGACATTGCGAGCTTGAGGATCTGTTCTTCATCAGGCGAACTTGCGGTTCTAATTCGGCCGTGGTGCCTTTCAACCACCTCATTGCGTCCTCTTCCCTGAATGTGTGATGCAGTCGGCTGTTGAGTCCTTCGCAGAACTGGTAGCACCCCAGCACAGCTAAGGCAATGAATATTTCAACCAAGAGTCGTCGTTTCACCATATCTACTAGTTGATGATGCATTGCCTCAGTTGGCACGGAAGAGCAGGGAGTTTGCTAACCATCGGTGGTAGGAAAGCCCTTGTTTGGAAATGCGGCCAAAGCTCGTGGCCTTTCGGTCGAATATGCCAGTGGAGCTTCTGAAGCCTCTCACGTGTATCTCGATGCTGTCGTATACTGCATGCCACAAAAGGCAAGCCTCATAGAGAGCTTGCACAGCAGGACATGGCATCGAAGGTATTGCATTCCATGATCGTAAACTTCATTGGGGAGCCGTCCTGCAATGCAAAACCCTGAGAACTGCGGGGCTTGATTTTCCTAGCATCCCCTAGCCCTGAACTCCTAAACCTTTTCGCCTATGACATATGACCAAATATCAAGACCTGTTCACCCCAGCCGAGCAACAGGTACATGGGAAAGCGCTCCACAGCATCGAACCACTTGCAGAGCGACTGCCTCGAAATCAGTGGGGGTGGGTTCATGGTCGAGGTGTTAGGGGCAATTAGGGTTTTCTAGCACGGCCCAAGAAACGAGGTTTGAGTTTCTGGGATGACATAATTGTGGTATTTGGTGTCCTTAATACAGTCGATCGGTAGAATGAGGTCGAAAAAAAGTTTTGCTAGATAACTTCAAGTATCATTGCCAAGCAGATAGGGGCAAACCGTACATCATCGTCATCTGGCCAGGGTTTTCCTTCGTCCTGGTATCGGGAATGAAGCCACTGCCCAAAGTCGCGGTTGTTCGTGGTCTTATGAGCAGCAGCCCTTTCCATGCAATCACCCAGCCACATGGTGATAACTCGACCATTGTATCCCTTGTGAGCCATATGGGCCCCATGCTTTTCAGGCTTCCAGACCTCACCAAAGTTCATCATCAATGTTTAAGGTGCAGTGGGTTGGTAGGCTTATGGTCTAGGTACGGCGATATCAGCGATGCAAGTTGTATTTGAGACCCATTCTTTAATGCAGTCCAGGGGCAAACTTCGGCACAAACTTGGTCTGGGAACAGTAAACCCCCCGTTCCTTTTGGAATGATTTGAAATCACGAAACGCAACGACCAGGAGCTTGTGAAAGGAATTCGTGTTCGGGTCCGGGTCGCCGAAGTATCCATTCTCCACTAGAAACATCCTGAGCATTTGTGCATAAAAGGGTCATTGTCGTTCAACATATGCAGAAATCCGTAAACACAACTCTTGAAGCCAAGAAGCAAAGTTGAACCTGTAGCATCCTGTGCCACTCCCAGATTGACATTGTGTAGACTGCAATGACAAATCATTCCATAGTGGAACCCTCGAAGCCCCAAGAAGGGACCTTCAGCACACATTCAGTGAATTTGGGGTGACCACCAATCAAGTCTTATCCTGTCTAGCCGAAACTTGATGATACAACTTTGCTACCATTGGGAAAAGGCACAAACGTGGTTCTGCCCGATGCCATTAACCACGAATCACAGATGGAGTGCAGGGCTTGGTGGTGATTCTCAGCATCACATCTCCAGCAGCACCACCGGGTTTTCCACCATCGTTTAAGCCGCCAGGTTTGATCTTGATATTCCCAGTCGCCTTTAATCTGTGTCACGGCGAACTTTTTACCCAGAGGTCGATTGTCGGGGGTCAGGCCTTCGAAGGCGGCATTCAACGATTCCACAACTGCACGATAAAGAGGGTTGTGACTCTTCCATCCCAGGCTCAATTGAGTATCTAGGCTCCAAAGTAACCATTGGCTCATCCTCGTTGACTTGGGCCTCCACAACACAAGGCTCATGAAGCAACCTGTGACCTTGGCTTGATCGTACCCCTGCCCATACCGAGCAGTGTCCCCGTAGAGTGATACAGGTGTGTGGTTGCCGTCAAAGTCGGCAGAAACACACCAGTCACACCAGCGCTTGCAGTGGGCCCAATACTTTGCTAAGGCAGCTTCACTAATTTCCAAGACCAGCTCATCGAAAAGATAAGACAATATGCGGTGGGGGAGTAGCACCGGAACCTTCACTCGTACTTCTTCTTCCGAATCTTCTTTCATCTTTAGAATAGTCTCCACATAAACAGGCTCCTGGCACACGGGCTATTACAAAACCCCAATCTCGATTATCTAATTATGTTGAATAACAAACATAAACAGGCCCTGAACCCTAAACCCTTCGACACCCACACCTACACCCTGAAAGTCAAACTTTTCGGGATAGCCTGAAAGTCTAGGGGTTCGGGTGGGGAGGTTCACGACAAAGCACCACAGGGAGCCGAACTGATCGTGCGAAATCACGAGCACTGTTCTTGCCACTGAAGGTTCCGAGCTTCTTCAGCGGGGCCGGCAGAAGACCAGCCGCATCCTTGGGCACGGTTGCATCGAAATACATAGGGCTTGGGTTTAGGTTTTGGGTTGGTTTGAAGGTTTTGTGCAGCCGGGTTTCGGTGACTGTGGACTTGGCGCTTCTCATCTCGCGGTTGACGGAGCCGGCCTTCGAAGGATTCTTCAAGTTGGGCTTCGGGGTCCTATGCGGCTTGTTGATACAGGCTTCGGGGCTTTTTCGGCTTGTGCAGTGACCGATCACACCATTCGATTAGGCAAGGAGCAGCCGCTACGTTGTCGATCATGTCAAAAACCAGCTCTGAAGTTCTCGCAACTTTACCTGCGAGCGAAGAGGGCGGTGCTACTCCTATTTATCAGGCGAGTCATGCTCCTACATAGGCCGAGCTGGCACATGTAAGCAGAATTTTCCAAGGCAGCCCGCCAAATCTGGCACATCTAAGGCACACGAGGATTTCCCCATCCTGTGCACCAAGTGCAAGATAGCAGGGTCCACTGATGCTTTGTAGCACCAGGCACATCGATATGCCGGCATTTGTTTTCATAATGCCGGAAAAGCATCATCTTCTCCACACAGCATCAGATCCCCGAGAACCTGATCTACACAGGTTTTGCAACCTAACTGTATACCTAGGATTCGAAGTGTGCAACCGAAACCACTCGGGTGCTGTGTCTCGGACGAGCTTCCTACTTCTCCTTTGTGAAACTCTTCTTCTTGCTGAATGCAAGAACCTGGTTCTGCATTTTCTTCATGAGCTCTTCGGCCTCTGCGGTCATCGTCTCCATGTCGGTCTCCTGACAAAGCCAAACATCTTAGGGTTCGAGGCTGTGGGGGTTTAGGGTCGTTGTTAAGGTGCATTTTAAAACTGACACGAAGCCGACTTGTACTCTTTAGTTTGGCCAGATCCAGTTTAAGTTTAGCGGTCGGTTACTGTCGCTGCAAAAGATTAGGGCTTTCGGGGCCAAACCAGGTTAGCAAACTGAAGCTCCTGGGCTCCATCGACAGCAGATTGCAAGTTTGCTCTGCAGGCGGAGAGCCGGGCAATGCAATCATCGAGATCCTTGCGGAAGGCCTTCTGCGCGTGCTTGCTCCTTTGCACGAGGGGGCGTCGGCGGGATTCGAGGGTTTAGTTTAACTGCAGAATCCGTTTGATTGAGAGACTCAGGCCCCAACAACCCCTCCAAGTCAGCAATCTTGGCATTGTGGTCACGGATCATCTTGCTTAGCTGGCCGATTGCCTAGGAGGGCACAGGAAGGGGGCGAGAGCAGGGGGGTTGCTTGAATGAACACTTGCCTTGTTGGCTGCCAGCTTTGTTTTCTTCAACCGGGCTTTGTCGGCTTCGGCCTGCTCGTCCTTTTCATCCTTCTCCTTCTTCTCCTTCTTGGTTTTTTTTTTGACTTCTTGTTGCGCTTTCCCTTCTTGTCCACGTTCTTTCCCTTACCCTTTCCATTCTTGTTGCCATTGTCCTTCGTGGTTTGGGATTGGTATGCGACAACCAACGGTTGGTTTAGGGATAAGGCTTCGAGACTTGTGGGTTTCAGGGTTTAGGGTTCTAGGGTTTGGGTTGATAATTTGAAGTTAGTTGTTTTTTGGTAAGTGTGCATCAGCAGGAGTACGTGCACATATTTGCTTTATGCATGCAGGAATGTGTGGCATGATCGACCTGCGTGTGTGTGTGTGTGTGTGTGTGTGTGTGTGTGTGTGTGTGTGTGTGTGTGTGTGTGTGTGTGTGTGTGTGTGTGTGTGTGTGTGTGTGTGTGTGTGTGTGTGTGTGTGTGTGTGTGTGTGTGTGTGTGTGTGTGTGTGTGTGTGTGTGTGTGTGTGTGTGTGTGTGTGTGTGTGTGTGTGTGTGTGTGTGTGTGTGTGTGTGTGTGTGTGTGTGTGTGTGTGTGTGTGTGTGTGTGTGTGTGTGTGTGTGTGTGTGTGTGTGTGTGTGTGTGTGTGTGTGTGTGTGTGTGTGTGTGTGTGTGTGTGTGTGCGTGTGCACGACATGTATGCCCACATGTACACAGCCATGAACCAATCTGTCACCCACCCACTGATTCATTCATCAAACACTCGCACACGACTTCCCGGTCCTTGCCACCTTTCGAGTCTGGCGTGTCGTCGTCATCATCGTTTGAGCCTGAGCTGTCGTCCCCGTCTTCCTGCCGGAACATATCCGTAATCTCATCCACGTCCTCGTCGGTCACCTCCTCGTCCACCAAGACGAGGTACTGGACAAGCCCTGCGAAATGTCATGACGTTGTCACATTGGAAACATTGAACAACAGAGATCCTATCTATGAATGCATTGGTACAGTTCCCCCCGGCTCCTGGGCATTCGGGGTGCTCTCGCACCTCGGTTTTTTTCAGGTACTCGTCGGTCTCTTTGCGGGCGATAATGCTATCCACAATGGTCGCATCGTCAAAGTGGACCAACATGTGGGATCGGGTCAGCCACCTGCGAATTCCACGTCGCCCGTTTCGGGTGATGGACTTAATGGTCTTGTAGACCATCGATTTCTTCCAGTCACCCTCCGTCTGGAGGTAATCCTCGTACAAGCTGCTCATCTTATTCTTGCCTGAGCACGGATCGTACATGCATGGGAAAACCGACGACCTCCGGGCACTAAGTGCACACATGGCACAGTACTTCGACTGGTGGAATGCCGACTTGATCTCGGCCGGGCAGGTGCGGCCTAGGTAGTAGGCATGCACACATGTAGTGCTCGCAGGACATGGCATGTACACACATGACTGTGTAGACTGTAACATGACCGCACATCCCCACACCTTGCATTCAGATCGAAAACAACGACTGGGCCAAGTGGCTGTGCACACTTCTGTAAAGCCTCATGTACATCTTGTGTGCAAACTTCTTCTTGTCCTCCAGGGTGTTCTCCTTATTGGATTCCTTTTCGTCGGCCTGCTTGTCCTTGCTGGGGCTAGCGATCGTCGGCGGCTTGCGTGCGGATTTCTTGGGGCTCGGCAGGGCCTCATTGCTGGACCTGGCTGTCCTGTGATCCTCCTGCGCTTTCTGCGTGGCGCTCTCGGTTTTGGCACGGGGCTTGGCCTTGATCGTGGAGTCCGTGCCGGGCTCGGTGGCCGTCGTGGCTTTGTTCCCAGAAACCTTGCTGTCGGCCGTGGCTTGCTTTCCCTTGACGGGCTTCGTTGGGGCCTCGCTTTCTTCAGGTTTGTGCTTCTTTGCAGAGTCCTTCTTGGGTTTGCTGGGGGCCTTGCTTTCATCATCCTCAGCTTTGCGTTTCTTTGCCTCCTTCTTGGGTGGGGCCTCGCTTTCTTCCTCAGGTTTGTGTTTCTTTGCAGAGTCCTTCCTGGGTTTGCTTGGGGCCTTGTGCTCATCTACCTCAGCTGTGCTTTGATCCTTGCAAACGGACTTAGGCTTGGCGGCACCCTTTGGTTTTCCTTTGGCTGCGGCTTTGCTCGTGGCTGGCTTGCTGCTGCTGGGTTCGTCGTTGGCTTCGCTGTCCTTCGGATCCGTAGCCTCCTCAAAGTCCTGCTCGAGCTGCTTTTGTGTTTTCTTCGCTCGAGCTTTTCTCTCCGAAGCAGTCTGCTCATCAACTGACTGCGGCCTCCTCAGAGCATCTCTCACCTTCTTAGGAAGAGACCCTGATAGCTCATCGGTGCCGGCCCGCTTCAGCTTTGGTGGCGGGGTTTTTTATGACAACTGTCTGGGCAGAGTCAGCTCTGAGCGGCTGCTTGCCGGCCTTACCCTTTTGAAAAGCTCTCTTTCCAGGAGGCGTGTCGTCGAGCTCCGGGAAAGGGTTCTGAGCATCTTCTTTGCTGCTGTCGTAGGACCTGGGCACACATGTCGTGCGAGCACACGAACACACGAGTACATTCTCAGTACATGCTAGATATCGCACAATTGTCACAGAGGATCCCACCACTTCCGGGCCGGTGGCGACGGTGTCACTCTGGACTCCCGGTTTCGGGCCTGCTCCAAAATCTTCGCCACATCGATGGCCACCGGCATCACACCGATGACAGTCGAGGCTTCTACAAGAGCGAAGGAACACTTACAATCAGCAAGAACCACCTGTAATGTGAAGGCCAACAGCAATTGAAGCTTGCGTGCAGACATGCAAGAACACGTCACAGACACAGCAATCTACGCTTTAGTGTTACGTGCTTTGTGTGATTTTGGGAGGACCAAAGTTTCACGTTATCTGGGTGCTTTTCACGGTTTTCACGGTGCTTTTCACGCTGTTTTCACGCTGTTCTCACGCTGTTTTCACGCTTGGCTCTTTCACGTGATTCTCACCAACTGAGCAGCAAGCTTTTGGGCTGCGTCATCGGCATTGCAAGGGCGGGTTTCACAGCCACTGAATCAGCTAGTGCTTGCACAACGACTCACTCATTGGCAGCCTAGACCCATTGAGATGTCGATTGAGAATGGATGATCCCAAACTAGAGCAACTCTTGATATTGTAGTGGTGTTGTCGGCACTGCAAACATCGCATTATGGGAAATCAAAGGCTGGCACATATCGACCGGCCTCGATTTCTTTGGCAAGAAACAGAAAGACCGGCTCGAGATTCGCATGCTTCCAATCGAAAGGCGGCTTCACCGCCGGAAGCTCGCTCTTTGCAGCCTTCAAGGCCATACTGCGTGCACAGATCAAATAAACCATTGGCCGGAATATGTGATGCGTGGATGAACTCAAACCCAGCCTCGGAGAGCCTCTTCACACCCACGGACAGGTCGCAGTGGTGGCAGTTCTAGGCACACACACACACACGCATGGACCATATGGCATATTCGCAGGCGAAAAGCTCGGGAGCAGAACAGACAAAGCACACCTGGCACTGCAGGCAGGAGGCCATCATGTACTCATGGTGGCCGGCGATCGCTTCCCCAAAGCCAGCCGGGTACGTTTGGGTGTTCTTCAATTTCGGCAGTCCTTGCCTCAATGGGGCAACAGGAGCAAACAGCACTTTGGAGCACACACGGCCACCCCACTCGCCAACACACTCGCTCCGTCACTGCATCGCTTGCATTAAGACACGCACTCGTGCCGAGGGACGAGGTACGACAGTGTATGCTAGCGCCAGTATCCCTTTGGGAAACATCGAAGGTGTTTCGCTAGAAAACGTCGAAGGGGTTTTCCTCTGAAGCTAAACAGAACGAAGCTTGTCTGTTTGCTAGAGTGTCTGCACATGGCCGGTGAAGCAGTGCTACTCCGTGGCCATTGTGCTGAAAGGCCCCCAGCTATTGGGGGGCAAATTTCGAGTGGGGGTAGGAAGGGGAACAGGGCTAATTAGCCCTGCTTTGGGTGCGCTGCCATGTCGGACAGCGACGCTACCCTGGCGCCGACCACGCCAGATGGCCGAAGAGACGGGAGTGCTCTTCGAGGGCTGGGAGATGGAGGCAGAGCTAGAGGCGCAGGCTACGGTCCAACAGGAACGTAGGCGCACGCTAGACAGGGCCTACCGGCATCTCTCCAGCCAAGGGTTTGGGGTCTTGGAGCTAGCAGTGGTGGATCTGGACGACGCGGAGGATGTCGCCAAGCAGCTAGCTCGAGAGCTAGGTATTCCATACCAGCCGTGGCTATGGGATGGTGTCTACTGTTGGCTGCAAGAAGCGCGGCAGGAAGCTACTGTCTATCAGAGGGTGCACGGCTACTTCCAGGACGATATCACCTATGCCACCGCTACCTGCTCCAAGGGAGGAGGTCGAAGACGCGGTGCATCAGCCACCTGCGCCGCTAAGACCTCCCCCCGGGGAGCGGAATCGGAAGACGCTACAGCCCAGCACGATCAGTGCGGCTAGAGAGGAGCGACTGCTAGAGGTTTGGGCAAGGAAGCTCCGTGAAGAGCTGCTAGAGATACATGCCCCGGTTCTCGCTAAGCTGCACGGGAGTCTGGACCCCGCGAGGGCAGCTATGTTGCTTCCGGGGAAGACTCGGGCTTCGACTTTGAAGCGCTACCTGAGCTACTACAGGCAGTGGCGCCAATGGCTCCAGGCAGCTAAGCTCAGGCCGCCCCCGGGCACCGCCGCGGACCTGGTGGATTACCTCCTCGCTAGGAGTGATGAACCCTGCGGCCGTTCGGTCCCAGAAGCTATTCTCAAGGCTATCTCCTGCCTGGAGGACAGTTCCCGGTTGGAATTTGCGCCTGGGAACAATTTTTGCCGGGAACAAGGCCAACTAGTTTTCTAAAATGACGTCAATTGTTCCCGGGAACTGTTTCTTGGGGTCACTTCAGAAAGACAGCCGTAACGGCTTTGACATGGGTGATCTCGCAAAACCAAACGATCAAAACCTAGTCCTTAAACATGGTAAAAGGTTGTTAACCGTGTGGGCTCCGCTACCAACGACAGGCATGCCATGATCCCAATGTATACATGACGGCCTTAAACTGCGTCTGCCAAAGATATATAATCTGGGGGGCGAGCCAAACAGACATAAGGCCATGGAATCTTTAAGCATCGACACATAAAATTGGATCCTGCCATATATAACTGGTGACAACCGGCCATGGAGAAATCCAGCAGCACATGCAATCGAGCCAAAATCGGTCGTTCCCTCTCTCTCTCTCTGCTTAGGTTTAGGGTTTAGGGGTATATATGGTTATAACTTATAGGGTTAGGCATGCATGTATCAAATATTTTCTGTATATATAATATATATATATATATATATGAGATCGAATGCACGTGAGAAGGAGACCGATCGACGAGAGAAGAATATAATACGTACAGGAGCAGTATAAGTTTTTGTGTTTTCCTGGGAAGGAGACCGATCGAGGAGAGAAGAAAGGAATGGAGGAATGGAGCATTTGCAAACATCTCCTCGGAACTGCAATGCATTGCAATGGGATCCACTCTTTTTTCACTCCCGGGCTAAGTGTGCATTCAGCTGCATCTCGAGCCTCTGCAGTAGTCTGAGGCCGAGTGTACTAGGGTGAACTGCCTGGGATTTCCCTATCGCGCAAACTTTGCCGATCCAGCTCTCGTCGCTCCAACAAGAGGTCAGCAAAGGATTAAGGCGGCTGCCGCCGTGTATTTTGAGGATGACTTCGCATAGAAATGAATGGACCCTTGGCCGCACTTTGTACCTTGCCCTGGCACTTAGCAGGGCTGCTCTCGCCAGAAAAATGTGGGCACGTACATAGCAAAGGCCACACTCAACCATCTGTGATGCTTCGGTCTCGTTGAAAAAGAGCCCTGCTTTGTCCATCGTGATGCCCACTTGCGTCACGGCCCAGGCACACGTCGCAGGTACTTTAAGCTCTTCCACCTGTGTATCCTCAGCTGCATGGGTCCACTGGTTTTGAAGCTTTCAGTCAAGACCTGGAATTGTTCTTGATATATATTGCAATCTAAGCTCCTGAAGAAAGGCGGCAGCGAAAGCCAGTCCAACCCGGTTGCTCCAGCCTTTTGAAAAACCCAGCGGAAAGTCGTATCGCAGGGCATCCACTGAGAGCTTCTGCAAGCCTTTTGGGCACAGGGGCGGCCAACAGTTAACTGCAATGCGTTGATCTGTATATTCCAAAAAAACATAACAAATCCGAGTGGCTGAGTTCGTCTATGCATGAACGATCCAAGTTATTCTCTGAAAACCAATCGTGCATTCGCGAGCATAAGGCTTGCAGCCCCTCTTCCCAGGGGAGGTCGCGAAATTCGGGGTGGAATTCCACTGTGTCCATCAAGACGGATCCCAATGTGTCTTTCGCCGGCCCCAGCCACAGATTGTGGAGCGTATCGGCCTGCTCCATGTCGGCATGGTAGCCTGGAATGCTTCGGAGAGGAAGCGTGCTCGGCATCGAAGCATCCAGATGCTGTTGCACAAGTGCTGGTTCGTACCAGCTCAAGTTTTTCGCATCCAGCCAGTGCCTGCACTCCACATCGCTCGTGCAGCGACAGCGCCTGCAAAAGGTTCGTCCCGTGGTAGGGTTCGTTCTGAGGTTGGTATAATCATGAAGTTCCTGCAGCCACTCCGCCTTCCATTTCCAATCTCCTCGGCCGCAGCAGTACTGAAGTGTTGTGCCGTTTGGCAACGAAGTCGCTGCCGGATCGCTGCATTTACGAAGAGAATTCGCAAAAGCTCTCTGGAGGCTCTCCAGCGTGAGGTTCTTGCCGTTATTGTCGTATGCAAAGTGGGCAGACCGAATCACCTAGCTATGCTTTTCGAGAGGTCATGCACAAGTCTTCAGCAGTGCTGTATCAAGCATGCACATGTAAATTCAACCAAGCATCTGCAAAAGGTAGCTTGTAATGGAGGACATTCTTTCCACGAATGCCCAGACAGCTCCAGCTGAGCACGAGGACGGAGCGTTGTTTCTTTCCCTGCCCCTCGTCCCCATGCACAGCGATCGCGTGAGCTTTGGCCTTCTGGTCCTCCGTGAAGGCTTGCACAGGGTGGGACCTGCATACACGGGACGTGTGCAAAACACGTTTCCTTTCTCATGCAATGCTTGCACAATGAAATGCTGCTGAGTGACCGCCCCCACATTTCGCATGAAGCATGCTTCCAGAACTGCACCCAATTCATGCCGTTCTGCCTAAAATCAGGGCACTCGTACTAATGGCAACAACATGCAAGGCATTGCAACATCACATGATTTGCAAACATGGGGCATCATTTTCGGGGCCGCTCCTCCCTTCATCAGAGCATGCGCCATGTGGTGTGGCAGGAAAACTGGCCATTTTTTGTAAACCATTGTTCTCAAAACATGCCCCTTCTTCTTCTTGGCACGGCCACGGCCCAGTCGACGACAGCGTCCACGGCCACGGCCCCGGCCACGGCCACGATTCGCATTCTCAGCGTCGGCAGTGTCATTGCCGACGTCCTCCCGAGGCCTTTTTTGTGGCCGCAGTAGTGATATGGGCAAGTCCACGTGGGTGATCGTGCATTTCACAGGAACCTCGGTGAGATCACAGCATGATATGCATGAGCCAAGGCGACTATCACACATGCCGGCATGAATAGTGCATAATGCTGAACCGTGCACCCCATCCGATCGCCGCATGGCATTGTGAACCAAATTTTCAGCATGATTCTTGTTCTTGCACGAGCGAGAAGCCCACCGAGAACCTGGGTTCAAAGAGTACTCGGGAATGAATTCCAAACAGGGACACGAGAAACTATCATGCAAGGCCACGTGACTAGCACTGAGTTGGCCCTTGTTGGCATCGATTTCGTCTGAAGCAGCTCGAGCAATCTCCCGGAAATACGAGGCTGGTGCTCCAGTCCCCACTCTCGCGGCGGCCCACCGCATCAACGGCGACTCTCGCAGATTCAGGCCGCCAGGAGTTCGGCCATTCCCCACAGCAAGGTTCTGCCGCGATTTTTTGGCCAATGCCGATGCTCTCTTCAGCATGACCGCACACGACGGGGATCCATATGCACATAGATGGTGCACTGATCATTGTCAGACGGGAATGACCAGCCATGCCCACCAAGCACTTGCACAGCAGTTGTCACACACATGTAGCAGGGTTGACTAACGAATACTTGGTCGGGTTTGAGCTGCACGGGTTAACGGCTATTGATTCGTTAGACTTTCTTGGCAGGTGTTGTAAACTCCACGGGCGTCGGTCTACATGGGTTGCATGGGGTTCCACACAAACCGAAATCGAAGCCCTACATGCATGTCTGCAGAAGAAACACATGCAACCAGAATTCCGCTGCATTGTGCATGCACTCGCACATCTGGGACATGTGACTCTGCAATGCCATCCGGACTTTCTTCGACCACACATGGAAGAATCCCGCGTGCAGCATGAAACTCAAATCAAAGACAAGCTGCGTGCCCCTGATCCCAGGGCTCCATGTTCATCCATGCAGAGCCGTTGCTGCATGCATATTATGGGTATATACTGCCCCTATATAGTGTACACGGGTACATATCTAGCAGGTTCCCACGGAGCCTTTGGAATCGCGAGGCTTGGGCCTACAGATGCCTAGAATCACTCATTCCCTTCCTCATTCTTGAGGTCGGTCTTGCTCTTCTTCTTGGCCGGCATGGTTTGCTGTTTCTCTGCGGTGATCCTCAGATCGAGCGACACATGTACAACACCAAATTAAAGGCATCATGCAACAACACACGAAAAGTCACTCAAACACCAGCTCGCAAATCTGAAAAACTAAACCCTAATTATGTAGGCCTTGCAATCAGCATAATGCACAGCCTAGGCACAGGGAGCGTGCGGTACGTGTGTGTTTCTTGTACAAGTTCACGAGCGGCTTGGCCTTGTCGCACACGGCCGCCACCAAAGTCAATGCATCCTCGGATCCCACGTTGATGGCACCCATTTCCTTGCGGAGATCGGCCAATTGCAACTTCACCGAATCGATCAAGCCCATGAGCTTTTCCTGGCTCTCCAAGTCCTGAAGCCTCGGATGTTTTCAACCCTCTCTGCATGCAGAGTACTATAGTCGTAGTATAGCAGTATACAGGAGTAGTATAGTAGTAGTGTTGTAGCAGTAGTAGTAGTAGTAGTAGTAGTAGTAGCAGCAATAGCAGTAGCAGTATAGCAGTACCATTAGCAGTATAGCAGTAATAATAGTAGTATATAGGAGGCAAGTAGACTAGCACAAAAACTTTCAAACTTTCGCGAAAAAAAGTTTTGGCGGAGCTCCCATGTCGAGAAACTCGGAACACAGGATCGCAGCCTGGCCCTGTGCGTCACTCACAGCTGCCATCCAGCTCGTGACAAACTCCTGGACATCATCAGCACAGCAATCGGCCGGCAGCTCGGTGTACATCTCCTGCATTGTGCAACGAGCCGAATTCGGGGCACGTAACTGGGCACAGGAGACACGAAAACAGCAACAGATGAACGATGGCCGCGGTCCTTCTGAAACTTGGCTTTGGCCTTCGCCTTGGGCTTTGGCTTATTGCCCTGGTTGGCCTTCGGGTTGGCTTTATTCGGCTTGGTCGTTCCACTGCCCTGACTCGGCTCCGACGGCTCCTCCGTGACCGTCGAGTCCGGAGCTCCTCGCTCCGGCAGTGCATTCCTCTTGTAGAACAAGGGGTCCGAGTCCATTGACGAGAGGAGCTGCTCCACATCGGCAACCTTACAGCCTACCTCGAGACACACCTCGTCCTCAGCTCTTGGCAAGCACACATGATCTATGAATCGCGAAACAAGACAATGTTGTCTTTGCTTATCACACCTATATGCAATCCAACGGCGATTGTCTTGCGGCGCTCCGTCACAGTCGCATCGTTCCACAAGAGGAATTTCTCCACTGTGGGGTCATTGCGATCTCGCTTGGTGCCCTTGTGTTCGGCCCGGCGCCTTGCGGCGAAGGCGAGGCTCTTGTTGATGTCCTGCTCGAAGTGGGCCAGCACACCCGACCAGCTGACGTAGACTCCTTGATCCACCTCCTGATCGGAAGCATACAATCCAATGCCCCATATTTCCTAACATGCAACATGTTTCTTTGCAAGTGAAATGCACCTCCGTTTCTCGAATGACCTTCATCTGCACGGCTGCTTCGAGGTCCAAGCCCCTTCCGTTGACGGCGACCCATTTCTGGAACATCGACAGTCGCGTGTCACCACCCGCCCTCAGGGAGCCAGCAACAAAACAAAATATGACACTTGAGAACAAAACTGCACAGGACTTTCCAACGGTTTGCGTGTGTAAAATCAATCATGCCAAGGCTCTGCCAGGCTTTGCCAAGCTCCTTGCACACTTCGTTTCTCGCCACGAAGCGATTCATCTTTGCCCAAGCAGCAGGATGCGTCTTGCTCGTGCACTTGAAATCTTCCTGCTGCACAGCTACTTCCAGGGTCTGCATAGCACTGGCAGGAGCAGCCTCGGGCACTGTCACCACGGGCATTGCGGGAGCTGCAGGAGCAGCCTGAGGCACTGCCAATGGTGGATTTGGCACAGCAGGGATTGCGCCTGACTAGGCATCGTCAAAGCTGAACTCGGCACCGTGGCGATTGCGGGAGCAACGGCAGGATCAGCCTTAGGACCTTAGGAGGCACTGTCAAAGCTGGATTGGGCACCGTGGGGACTGCAGCAGCAACGGCAGGAGCAGGCTGCGGCGGCACTTGACTGGGCACAGGATCGAGGCTGGCAGGAGCGGAAGATGTGCTCAGTGGTGGAGCAACGGAAGCACTGGGGGAGTCCAGGCCTGCCAAGGACAACAGCCTCGACAGAAAAGCACTGTCGTGTCGGGCTTTCTGCATCAGGCTCTCCAGCATGTCATTCGAATCCACGGTAGAAGCCGGCGTTGTCGGCGACGTTGTCGGCGGGGTGCTTGGCATCGACAGTTCGGACTCCGATTTCTGCTTCTTGAAGTAAGACGTCCAATAGTTGGCATACTTTGCTTTGTGCTCTGGTGTCAGGACAGGTAAGGCATCCGGGTCGATCGGCGGTCGGCGTTTCAGGCTAGGCCTGTCGACTGCAGGCTGCGTGGGCACGGCCTCGGCTGCAGCCGCAAAGAAAGTGGTGTGAGGGACGGCAAGCATCAGGGGTCGCGGAACAGGTGCTTCGGCAGACACTGCGGCGGAGGCTGGGCTAGCCAGTGTCGGGACAGGTGCTTCGGCAGGTGCTGCGGCGGAGGCCGGCCTAGCCAGTGTCGGGGGAGGTGCTTTGGCAGACACTGCGGTGGAGGCCGGGCGGCCGGCAGACACTGCGGCGGAGGCTAGGCTAGCAGGTGTCGGGAGAGGTGTTTCGGCAGACACTGCGGCGGCAGAGGCTGGCCTCGCCGGTGTCGGGAGAGGTGCTCCGGCAGACACTGTGGCGGGGGCCGGACTAGCAGGTGTCGGGACAGGTGCTTCGCCACACACTGCGGCGGCAGAGGCTGGCCTCGCCGGTGTCGGGAGAGGTGCTCCGGCAGACACTGCGGCGGGGGCCGGACTAGCAGGTGTCGGGACAGGTGCTTCGGCAGACACTGTCGGGAGAAGTGCTCCGGCAGACACTGCGGCAGAGGCTGGGCTAGCAGGTGTCGGGACAGGTGCTGAAGCAGACACTGCAGCGGCTAGGCTAGCAGGTGTCGGGACAGGTGCTTCAACAACAGGGACAGGTGCTGTGGCAAACACTGCAGCGGAGGCTGGGCTGCTGGCTGCAGCTGCAGCCACGTAGTTACAAGGCCAAGGGAAAACTGCGGCGGTGGCTTCACCTGAAGCACGTACAGCAGGCACCGTAGGGACACCAGCAGGTGCCGGGACAGGTGCTTTGGCAGACACTGCAGCGGAGCTAGCAAGTGTCGGGAGAGGTGCTTCGGCAGACACTGCGGAGGCTGGGCTAGCAGCTGTCGGGACAGGTGCTTCGGCAGACTCTGCGGCGGCAGAGGCTGGCCTCGCCGGTGGGAGAGGTGCTCCGGCAGACACTGCGGCGGGGGCCGGACTAGCAGGTGTCGGGAGAGGTGCTTCGGCAGACACTGCGGCGGCAGAGGCTGGCTTCGCCGGTGGGAGAGGTGCTCCGGCAGACACTGCGGCGGGGGCCGGACTAGCAGGTGTCGGGACAGGTGCTTCGGCAGACACTGCAGCGGAGGCTGGGCTAGCAGGTCTCGGGTTAACAGGTGCTTCGGCAAACACTGCAGCGGAGGCTGGGTCAGGCACAGCGGTCGTTTCAACAGGTTGGGCCGGCACTGCGGGAGCAGCTTGGCTCGGAAGGCCCTGCAGGGCTCGCCTGCAGCAGTTTATCTCTAAGTATAATGTTTAGAGATCGTCTGCATGCACATATCAACGACTAAGCCGGGGCACAGTTTCGCTTCGACACTCTTGCGGATCTCCGGCTGCAAGCTGGTTAAAGCTTTCAATGCCAAAGCATCAAAATGTGCCGCATCCTTCGCCTGGGTGTACACCACATGTATAATGTTCAAATGCTCCATGCAGCACCCTAGTTAAACACAGACATATGTGTCGTTGCCGGCCAGTGGCCGTGGGATCTGACTGCAGCTCTTTCCGCTTCGCGGGAGGCATGGTTCAGGATCGACAGAGCTCGAGAAAACAAAATTTCGTCTCATGATGGACAAGATTGTCTGGATGTGCTTCAATGCATGCATGGGGTGGACCGAACGTGCCAGCAAGCATGATCACTCTGCACTCTGCAAGGAAAACCCGACTGAGGTCATCGTGTCGCGTGTGTGTTTTGTCCCAGCCCCATCCCCCGCAGCCCCAAGCCCCTCAGCCCGCAAGCAAAGGCCCGTCCCACGTATATGCCCAGCACTGACCCATCCCAATCCCCACCCCTGGTTCCCCCCCCCCAACCCCCCTGCAAGCCCCAGCACCCCTGGTTCCTCACCCACACCATTCCGTGCCCCTGCCCCCCCTGCCCTGGTTTGGCTGTGTGTGTGGGTGTGTATATAGGAAAGCACCAAACGGGCTGCACGCATGGAATTCGCAGGTAATTTACATTGAATATATTCACGACCCGCACAATTAATCCTTCCAAACGATGCAGCAGCGTCCTGCTATTCGTCCTGTCTGATTGATCACCGAGAATTCACCATGTAAATAGCTGACTATCACAAAAAGAATTTCCCACGGAGGATAGAGAAGCCGTATTGGCAGGTCGGGTCGTAAAGCCACATGATTGCTCTGGTAGTTATGCAGCAGCGTCCTGCCATTCGTCCTGTCTGATTGATCACGGAGAATTCACCATGTAAATAGCTGACTATCACAAAAAGAATTTCCCACGGAGGATAGAGAAGCCGTATTGGCAGGTCGGGTCGTAAAGCCACATGATTGTTCTGGTAGTCATGCAGCAGCGTCCTGCCATTCGTCCTGTCTGATTGATCACCGAGAACTCACCATGTAAATAGCTGACTATCACAAAAAGCATTTCCCACGGAGGATAGAGAAGCCGTATGGGCAGGTCGGGTCGTAAAGCCACATGATTGTTCTGGTAGTCATGCAACAGCGTCCTGCCATTCGTCCTGTCTGATTGATCACGGAGAATTCACCATGTAAATAGCTGACTATCACAAAAAGAATTTCCCACGGAGGATAGAAAAGCCGAATTCGCAGGAATAAGTCGGCTCGTAAAACCACATGATTGCTCTGGTAGTCCTCGAAATGGAGGGACTTCGTAGGTATTTTACATTATTTTTTTTTCTTGCGACAAGTTTGGGCCGCCGGCTGACAAGGCATAACGGGATTGATTTTCAGATACTGCCAGACCCATTCAGAAGTGATTTTTTGTTCTTGCATGGTTTAGACTCTCCATGTAAAAGCAGGTATTTTCAGACATTTCGTTCCTCGAAAGCAACCTTTTCCTGGTTCCTTTGACAAGTTGGAACCCATATCATGGACAGATTCTTCCGTGGAGGTCTGTCGCAGTTTGCTTGCCGCAACAGCAAGCACCACTTTTCCTAGTGTTCAGGTTTGTGCGATGATGCAAAGATAGCAATTCGGAGTGGACACAATGATGAATTTATGTTCGGACGATTGCCAGGACAGGTTTCGAATGGTTTTTTTGGGCATATGAAAATTTGTTCCCAGGAACATTTTTCAGGAACAAGTTTATGGAAATTTACGCAAATCTACGCGAATTTACGCTTATTTACGCGAGCCTGTTTTGAGCATCGAAATGATGTTTTGTATATAGGTTGATGTTGAGTTCGGTTCGCGAATCATATTGTTGTTGTTAAGTTGTTGTCGCTGGGATATGTTTCGATTTTTTTTTTGGCATGTGTAAATTTGTTCCCAGGAACAATTTTCAGGAACAAGTTTATGGAAATTTACGCAAATCTACGCCAATTTACGCTTATTTACGCGAGCCTGTTTTGAGCATCGAAACGATGTTTTGTATATAGGTTGATGTTGAGTTCGGTTCGCGACTCATATTGTTGTTGTTAGGTGGTTGTTGCTGGGATATGTTTCGATGTCAATACTAAAGCATATGACATTTGTTCCCAACAACAAAACTCCAAGAACAAGTTTATGGAATTCTACGGAAAGCTACACGAATTCACGTATGCTAGTCGTATAGTGAAGTAAATTTTGGTATTCAATATTCAATACAGTAAAATGTGCAAGATGTGCACACATAGCATGATCGATAGGGGTATGGTTCCTGCAAATAATTCCTGCGATGTGGTATATCAGCAGCAGCAGGAGTAGTAGTAGTGTGGCAGTAGTAGTAGTAGTAGTAGTAGTAGTAGTAGTAGTAGTAGTAGTAGTAGCTAGTAGAGAAGTTAGAACTAGAGGTAGAAGTAGAAGTAGAAGTAGTATAGTGATAGTAGTATAGTAGTATAGTAGTAGTAGTAGTAGTAGTAGCAGTAGTAGTAGTAGTAGTAGTAGTAGTAGTAGTAGTAGTAGTAGTAGTATTAGTAGTAGTAGTAGCAGTATAGTAGTAGTAGTAGTTGTTGTTGTATATAGTAGTCGTCGTCGTCATCGCCAGCGTCCTCGTCGCCGCATTTTAGCAGTTATTAGGTAACTAATTCTTAAGATAGAATGTGCAAGATGTTCACACATATCATGATTCCTCAGTCGGGGTTTGCCCACAGACATGGGACAGGGCACCAAGCGTGGGACAGCAATCGGCGGCCGAGGTTTTGCAATTCAAATGCACATCACTCGCTGCTACCAGTCCTGCGGCCAGCATCCAGGAAGGTGAAGGTCCGGAGAATTACGGAGGTGATGTATCACATCACACATGTTGGCCTGGGGTTGGACACCATAGCACAGTTGTTCTCATGTCATGCACACACGAATCACGACGAAGCGTGGCCAGACTGACCAAGTCACATCGTCCCATGCATCCATCGGGGCACCGAAAAGCAAAGCAACATTTCGCTCCTCCAGCTTCTAGAATGCAGCCGATAACACATGGGCGTGCATTGCCATGAAAAGTCCTCCACATCATCCCTGATGGAGCTCAGAAAGCATGATGGCATGGCCGTCATAGCATGACAGGTCTCGCAGTGCCCACGGATGGGGAGATCCTGAAACTCTGGACACATGCATGTGGCCATATATACGTACATCACAGCAAAACTAAGAAGTCTCCCAGGAGCCTGGGATCCTTCACAGCCGCACGACCAGGCATCCATCACAGCCGATGCAAAGCCCTCCGTGTACATCCTGAGTCAGCTAGAAAAGAGTGCATGATTGGGAGAGCATTGCATGCTTGTGCAGACAAGATACAAGCACAATTTCAGTCCAGGAGCCCAATCCCCTCCCCCCATCAAACAAAACACAAACCAAGTGTCTCGCACTGCGTCAAGGCATCGGGGTTACCAGTGGGCCCCATCTGGCCACTTTCTTCATCCTTGCCATATACGTGCCAGACAGCATGCACGGATGCAGCATCCGGCCGGCAGCAAAACACAACAATCATTAGCAAGACAAGCGTCCCTTGTCCGTTTCGCCAGAGAAGCGTGGAAAGCATCTATACGATGCACATCATCTAGCGAAAGGTCCTTGCACAAGCCCCCGAGCCACTGCTTGTGGTTGCTCCACAAGCACGTGGGCCTCTCCCAGTTGGAGCCGAATGCCCCCATCTTTATGTGGATCTTGTAGACCTCCGCACGGAGGCATGGGATGCGTGCAGTGCAAACATTTCAAGAACAGACACGAGACGGAGTATCAGAGGATCGCACCTTTGACCCCTGCGAAATATGTTGCCATCGTTTGCTCTTGAAGAGGTACACTCCCCTGTAATGCGGTTGGTCCAGCAATATGTATGCGCCCGCAGCACGAGCAGCATGCCAAAGCAGACACATCCTTGGTTGTCGTTGTCGCGGCTCGGCAAAGTTGATCACACACAGCAGAATTACCCGAACAATTTCTGCATATGCCTCTCAAACGAAATATGTGCAATTAGGCGTCCTGGCAGAGATGAGGCTGCCCTCGGAAGCCTTGGGGAACTGTTGTAGTCCCTCTTGTCGAAGCAAGCATCTGTCGACTCGCGATAGGCAAGAATAAGAACCTCAAGTGTGTGGCACGAGAGTAGATCAGCGGCCAGAAATAGACATGTCTAAGCTTTGTCCAATGACAGCTTCGAAAGATATATAATAAGTTATATTCTCTTCTATCTGATCAGGGTATATAGTATTATGTATGTGTGTATATATATATATATACATATTACATTTCAAGACAAATGTACGTGCACCTGCAGCCTTGTCACAAGGTGGCCTCGCCACAAGCAAGCCCCCATGTTGCATGCGAAGCACACACAGAAGTGAAGCCCTGAGGTCACACTTGCAACATGAACACGAAAGCCTCCTGTCGACGGCACATGTGGCAAAAGACTGAGACATGCTGCGAAGTGACAGGAAGCCAACAGGACTCAGCACGTTCATAGCATCATCTCTGCTGGAGTCCAGGGCAGCGGTTTGGAATCCACGTCGATCCGCCTCACGTACCACAGCCTCAGACCATGTGCTCAACAACACATGCACACAGAATGCTCCTCATGCATGTAGACCTAGTCAAAAACAGAGAGGCGTGCACACGAACACATCCAACAGGTGGCTCACGAACGGGACATAATTCGAGGGACCCCAAGTCCAGCGAACAACTCCAGCACGGCAATATCCCGGAGCTCCAGTTCCTCGGACAACAGGTTGGCAATGCTGTTCCCATGCAAAGCCATGTATACTTCAACAGAATCCATGCAGCGAAGCTTCAAACTGGGAACAGCAGGAGAGGAGGTAGCATGTGAGAATGAGCACCCGGGGAATTCCCATGCCCAACATGGCCGCCACATCGGGCCGCCATACCATTGCTTTGGTCAGGAATTCACGTTCGTCTAATGCGGAGTCTGTGGCAGGATGCCTCATGCAACCTATGTTGAGCATGTTTATACACTGTGCACATGAATCGCCCAGGCAGCATCGCAACAGCTTTGCACAATCTGTCTATGTATACATGCGAAGGATCCTGGAAACATAATGCACAGCGTATACATGAGCATTCAAAAGACACACACGTACACAGGCAGAGACACTCGCACACGAGCACTCCGATGGGGCATTTCGGCGCACATGTGGATCGAAAGATCAGGCAGCCCCGCCACGAGATATTCCCCTGCATGCACCATGAGCTGCAGCATAGAATGATTGAACTCGATCCAGTCCAGACACCCAAAATACCCGGCCTGCGGAACCCTCAAGAGGAGTCCAGCAACACACCCGTACAGGCATGTCGTACATGCCCGCAACCCAGTCGAAAAAGTCCGTCCTGCGAGAAGTCAACATCTGAAAAACTAGCAGGACATATAGGCGACTGGAGCAAACACCTCAGAGCTCGAAGCGACCCTTCTTGCGTTGCTTCTCGCTCATGGCTTCGATCATCGACCTGCAGCAATATTCACGAGGATCCGGTCGCCTCTCTGAGTTAACACGTGCCTTCGCAGGTTGCTCACCCGCCACATCTGGGCCGCAGCCCCCATGGAATAGCCATCCTTCAGGCACTCGGAGCAAAACGCTCGGTAGGCGATCATCATGGGGTTGTTGACACCGCCACTTGACTTGTCCTGCAGCATGCAATCGCAGAAAAATGGTCAATCGTGCAAGCCGGGCTGGGCATCCTCAGCGGCCTCTGCATTCACACTCGCTGCAGCTCGCTTCTTTTTTTGATTCGGTGCCTGCAATCAAGGCGGATGGCAGCGTACAGTAGGATATACAGCCCAGACATTAATAAGGCTGGTCACAGCCTTCTTGCATCCAGCACTCGGCTGCTCGATGCCAGGAGCTGCAGAGGCCTCCATGCATCAAGATTGTTTTTCGTGTCTCAAACGGTGAGCCCTGCCTCGGCATTAACGACAGCCGGTGCAGCGACCGGAACGTCCTCCCAGGCAATGCCGCACATTCACAAGCGACTTTAAATTGTGTAGTGTGAATAAGTACATGCATGCACCCACGGAATTCCTGATCAGAAGATGCAGCAGGAGCATCTTTCTGGTGCGACGGAGGCATTGCAGAGACCTCTGCATGCATCTTATATATATATATGTACACACATATGCACTGGCAGGTTTTTCTCACCTAGCAGAAACAACGGCACCTCGGCTGCGGCATCAGCATATGATTTCTCGATCAACTCCTGCATGGAATCAGCAAAATGATTTAAGATCAACAGTGACAGCTGACACGGATCCTCCAACTCCTGTTCCAAGTCATCCTGTTGCTCCTGCAAGCACACATATACACGTCTGGGAAACAGAATGAGCTCAACACTGCAAAAATTCACAATCGAGCCTCATTATCGTCTTGTCCAGGGGACAGACCTGCACTCCATGCCCATGCATTGCACCGTGGAAGAATCTGCATGAGGAGCATGGGTTGGGTTCATCCATAATCACGCAAAAAGCGATCCTTCGGCATCTGGAGCAGGCACTGCTTCAGCATCGATCTTCATGCGGGAGGCTAGCAGATCCATCTCTCCTGCTGCAGCAAAATTAATTGATGTTGAAAGGTTGGTGCCACAGGGTACACATCCATCATGTGAATTAATTAGTATATCGAGTTCCTGCGTCATGTCTGGAGACGAGGTTTCGGAAGGGCTTCTTGTACTGAAGATGGTGCGGGAAAGCAAGTTCTGGGGCCGTCTCCAATTTAAGCAACACCTCTGCAAGGCAATGCGGTGCTGCAACGGCCGGGATGCTTCCTTCGTTGACCGGCTGAGTCTCCACGGCATCTGGATTGATGCCTTTCAAAGAAGGCTTCCTCTTCGTTGTCGACAGCAGCTTCGGCCCACAGCAGGCCTGCAGCATAGCAGCCGTGTCACGTGCTATTTGCATGCGTGCACACCCTGAGAAATAGCCCACCTTCAGTCGGACCATGACGGGTGCCGGGCTTTTCTTGGACTTCTTCGCCAAGCGGATGACATACTGAGATTGCCCCTTCAAAGCACAAGCTTGAGCATGTTGGAGATCTCCCGGGACGTCGGGGTTCTTTTGCTTGAGGGCTTCCTCCAGGTGGTCCAGGTTATACACGGAACCCTTGTTTTCGAAGCATCGCAAAGACCTGCGAGGAACACTGCTTTCAGGGAATTAAGACACACAAGCATGACGACGAAAGACACGGCGTGCAAGCGAGCATCGGTCCCAGCACATGTTCATTGAGCTTCAGCTGATCCATCTTCTCCTGAAAGTCGTCCTTATCATCCTTGGTGTCCTCCTCCTGGTCCTGGTTGTCCTCCTTGTTGTTATCGGAGTCATCCGGCGGCAGCTTGATGAAATCCTGATGATGCATCATGTGCACAAAGCATGCGTGGATCCACAACCCCCCCGTCCCACCAACATGTCTGACATGGCATGTGTCGATCCTCACAGGAGTCGAGGTCTTTCCAGGCCGCGAGGAGGTCATCGATGAGTTTTTTATTGTGCTTCGGCATGCCGCTAGCAGCGAAAAGAGAACTCTCCGGGGCCCCGGATATAAACAACACACTGCATAATGCACGACATGAGCTGCTGCTTCTAATCAGCCAGGTGCATGCAAGTCAATCTGGCCCCTAGCACTGAAACAGCGAGGGTGCATGAAAGTGCAACGTGATCACGACTGCAGACTGAATCGGGACAACCAACCCATCATGAATGCCTGTAAATTTAACAGGAGACACGATCGATCGCAGCGTCCTTTCTCGCGGGATGTCGAAGGCAGTCGGACCCGGAATTAACCATCCAACATTGAAGGTCAACGTCGCCATCGATCCAGCCTGCAACCAAGATGGCAAACACAATAAGCTGCGACAATAAATCTTCTTAGAATACATCGGTCCTGGACCCAGCCACAACGACCGGCAGCTTCCAACCAATCCAAAATCCACATGGCCGGGAATCCTGGGCTTCATTTAATTTTCGCACACGAACCTCGCATGCACTGTGGCTTTCACGGGAGGGCACAGACTTTCTTTCAAGACCGGAGGCGGCCAAGCAATAGCCAAAATCGTGGAAGTTTATAAGAAAACCTCAGTTACAAGCAAAGCCAAAAGCCGAAGCACAAGAGTTGCATGCCAAGCCGCCCAACATAGCCATGACCAGATCAAAATTTGGATGCCAGCACTGCAGTCCTGCACGGCGATTTTTTGGGATTCATGCGCCGAGGTCGAGGATCCTACACTTAAACCAGGAATCGCGAGGCCGCCGAGCAATGCAATCCTTTTCTGCGAGCCACCATGCTGTCGCACTGCCCTATACAGCCCTAGGATGACTCTTCATCCCAACCGCGTGCAATTCTCGCACGAAGCTTCTCCAAATTGGCTTCCCTGCGCTGCTGAATCTGCATGTCCTCGAGCACAATGTCTAAGCCAGTTTTCTCGGGCCATGGCTGTCCGTCCTTGATGTTCTTCAACAAGTGCGGGTCTGCATCCGAAGTGTCTGCATCCGAATCGCTCTGCACTTGAGCCATTGAGGGCTTCTTGATGGCCGACTTCATGGCCTTGGTGGCTTTCATCGACTTCATGGCCTCTGTGGCTTTCATCGTCTTCATGGCCTTGGTCGTCTTCATGGCCTTGGTGGCTTTCATCGTCTTCATGGCCTTGGCGGCTTTCATCGTCTTCATGGCCTTGGCGGCTTTCATCGTCTTCATGGCCTTGGGGGCTTTCATCTTGCCACCATGTGCTGCTGCAGGTCGCTTCATCGCAATCTCTGCTGCAGCTATATAGCGAGATGAATCAAAGCAGGATCTCGAGTTATGTCATTGCACGCCTGCAATGCACCGTCTAGACTATCATGACCTACTATTCTGGCCACGCATGCCATGAGTGCACATCATGCATGGTTCCATGCTTCAGGGAAGGCTTCGGCTCGATCCATCAAGAGTGCACGGAGAAAGTGCATGCAAGATGCGAATGATACCCCGAATCCAAAAATCAGATGCACCGATTATGGTCACCAATCTTTGAATATGCAAAACAGCATGCACATGCATTCTGTCCTCAGTCCACACAGACAGCCCGAACCATCGCGCCAACATCATTCCGGCCTTGCTCAAAAGCCATGCGCCCCACAAGTTTGCAACCCATGCAACATGATGAATCGCCAGACATTAGCCAAGCTTCTTGTGAGCCTCCAAGAAATTCTCCATCAATTCCTGAAGCTCCAGTTTCTCAGCAGGCCTCGGCTTCAGAATGGGTTTGCCAATCTTTAATGCATGCATTTCAACGCATGTATATACCCCTGCAATGAAACTCAGGTAAATGCACACAAGCCACGTAAGCACCGACATAGAGCGAAGCTGGATGTGCTCGTGCATGTAGATCATCATGTCGGTCATATGCACATGAAGCAATTCCAGGCGAATGCCTTGATTAGACTTGAGGAAGGGGGCAAAACAGACATGCATGACGAAGAAATGCCATCACCGCACCATTTGGGTCTAGTGGCGTACCTCTTCTACATCCGGAAGATTGTCCAAGAGCTTCCGCACAAGTTCAACGCTTGAATTGAAACGACAGAACAGGAGCTGCTCTTGCTCCATCGTCCATCTTTCCAACAGTTTGGCCACAGGCAGACGATCGGGTTTTGCCTTTTCGAAGACCGCCAGCTGGGGGAGCTTGGCTGGCCAGGGAAAGTTTCCGGTCTCCACATCTGCACGGGAGAAAGCTTCTATGCACAATGTAAGTACACATTTCCACCAGCACAATAAATCGCAAATCTCGGTCCACACAGACAAATCCTGCATTGCATCCACACAGTCCCGCAGGACTGTCATCTCTGAGCAAGCCAGCTGCTTGACATTGGACACGCTAAGACCGCATACCAGGATAACTGCAGCTGACAAGGCTCGGCAGCAATCCATGCGATCCATGGCTTCTTCGATCAGTGCGCAAAACCCCTGTTTGCGAGAGATGGAGCAAAGCAAATATATGCTGTGATGCCAGTGCTGCTTTCATGCAGGAAGCAGTGCATTGCAAGCCGCTGAGATTTCTGCGTCATATATGTCATGTGTTGCGTGCAAGCAGACATCACAGCGGACATGCAATGCCAACACTGCAGGAGTGCACAAGCAGCGCCTGTCTCAATGGATAGATAGGAAGAGCCATCGAAGGATCAAAAAGCAACATCGCTATGAATGCTTGGCTGCCACAAACCAGATATATCTGCCAAAGCAAACTGTGGAACCCCGTTGTCCGCACATATTCTGAGGATCGGTCTTCTTTG